AAAAAAAGAAAAAACCCCCCCCCCCCCCAACAAAAACTAAACAAAAAACAACTCGTGCCAGACTGCCCTCTTCTGGTAATGCAAAGATATTGCTATACAAGCAGAATTTAACACAGTAGTTTGGGTGTTCATCATATCTCCCACCTTAAAGATTAAAATTTTAATTGTCAGTTGATTTCATTTTCCTACTGTTGAGGCAGCATGCATTATTCCTTCCTAGACATCAGTCTAGAAGTAGAAGACAACCATGAGCAAATAAGAACATAAGAAACATTTTGTTCACGAGAAGTTTGAGCAAAGATGAAAACAGTAAGAAAGAGACCATGTCCTGATGCAGAATCATTAATTGAATTCACCAGCACAACACCAGCATTTCTCTTGATGACGTTTCTTGGAAGTTGCTTAGCAGCCCCTGGCTTTTAGGTCTCTGCACACAGGACAAGTAAACTGTGTATACAATAAAATAATTTAACTTGAATTTCCAACTGTACAAGTCCAAATGCACAGAAATTTTATTCTGGTTCATATAAAGTGGTAGGGCAAGTTTACAGTGGAGATAATTTTCAACACAGTAGGAAACAATTTTAAAGCTGGCACCTTTCACTTCACTAGTGTTGAAACAGAACAGCATAAAATATGAATACAATAGTAGGCAATTTTGCATTTCACAGTGAAAACTAGAAGCAAGTAAACAGGAAGATGGTGTTAACTACTGTATATTACACACTCTGTTAAGTATACATATATTGAAAAGTAAAATAGCCACCATTCAATTAAATGGTACTTCATTTTCTCAGGCACTTGCACAACCCTTTCTAAATGGTTTAACCTTAAAAACATTCCCGTTTGATATGGTACAGATTAAAACACGCTTTTTAAAGAAACCCTTCCTCAAAAAATGGCAATTCTAAGAAACTAATACTAATGTGAAATACACGTAGCACTTAGCAGTGGGAGCTCCAGACCTGCTGGTGCCGAGAAGGTAATGCAAAGTCTCTACAGAACAGGGGAAGTATCGGCCCCCCAGCAGGAGCTTTCTTCTGTTATGTTATTTGTAGAGGATTTCAAATTTGTTAGGATGTTTTTGAAATCTGGAAAAAAATTAACATGGATTTCAAAAGCAATTATTTATAAAATTGATCTACAAAGCAGAAATTCACACAGGGGAAATACCAATTATACAATTACAACTAGAAGAGTATACTTTAAGAACTGGTCGAGACAATCTCAGTTTTTACCTAGTGTGACTAGTCTTCAGAAATAATATGGAGTTAGGCTTGACTCCTGTCCTGTCAAAAGCCCCACAAGCAAGAATGGATTACTATGCACTCACACACTTACCTAAACATAACTTGTCAATAAAGATTGTTATTTTTGACCCATCAACTTTGTTTCTCTTTTCCTGCAACAGCTAAGAGCCACATGTGCACTTGCTGGCATTTGTCCATACGCAGCAGGGGAATGGGAAACTTCAGATGCTGACTATGCCTTAATAAGTGGGATGTGTGTGCCAAGACTGCCCATAAAACACATCTTATCCAGCAATCACAGTTTCAAGGGCAAAAAAATACTGCTGTGGTTCGCAATCACGAGTATATTCAGCTTTAATATCTTCCTTCCTCATAATAAAAAAACAGGGCAACAAAAACGTATCTGAAATGTAAACTTCCAAAAAAGAAACAACCCTACCAAAATACTTCCCTTAGGTGTAGAATATTTGTCCAAGTTGGAGAAAGCATTAAATGGTATAAAGTATCCTGAAACCTGAAAGCAAACCTGAGTTCACTTTGTACTGTTCTTTAAAGAAATCTTCCATCTAGAGCCAAGCAGTCCATTATTTCATGAGGGGTACTCTTCTTTAACAGGTTTTACATTTTGTTCTGCTGCTGTATCTTGGAATATAACTCACCAATTTCTACAGCATTCCTTTCTACAGTACGTAGAAGCACATCTTTCTTAGTTTATTGAAAATGCTTATATCCTTGACCAGCTTTTTGTTTAGTTTTGTTGCAACACAGGCAGGATTTAATCACTGCTTTGTGGGAAGTACTAATTGTGCTACAAAAGGGACATGCTTACTCTGAAATTTAATTTCTAGCATCAAGGAGTTAAAATTTCAGTCTCTTGATTGTCTGTGACTCCTGACAATTACACAGGTACCCTCACAACCAAACTGTTTTTCCTTGAAATTTTATTTCCCCACATGTCCAAGCAAAAGGAAAACATACCTTAAAGTGTTTGGCAAATTAACAGGAAAAATGAATGCTTATTAAAAAAAAATCTTTATTGTGGCATCAAAATTAGGAACATCCAATTTCTAAATGCTAGTGTTGGGGTGATGTCATAGCCATCATGGTCCAGGAAGAAACCAAGGCAAGGATTTCTGTGAGTGACAGTTTTCACTGGAGCAACTGGATAGTTGGGAAGGACATCGATGAGCTCTTGGGTACCACTTTAGCCTTCCTCAGATCTCTGAGAAAGAAGCAGACACAGCAGAGATAAACAACAGACAGAAAAGAGGCTTGTGCAAAATTTGATACGAAAACCAAAAGCAACACAAGAAATTTAGCTCTGCTGTATCTGAGTTTTTTTCCTCAGGGACCTGGGGAAGGGTACAGTGGGACATAAACAACTGAAAAAGTTGTTTATGTCCCTTCCAACTGCACAGGTGGTCGAACAAAACGTATCACCTACAAAAAATCCCCGTCTCTTAATTTCTAAATGCCACTTCTAAAGACACAGCTAGTTGGCAGCTAAAGAAAATCTACATTAAAATACTGACCTTTTTCTTTCAGAAATAGATAGTAATTATTCAGCTAGGTGGTCGTCTGGTTCTCTACAGCTTTTTCTCCTTCAGAATCCTTCTGGTGGCTCTTGTCATTTCTGCTTACAAGGCTTGCCCTTCTCTTTTTCTGGGTTTGAGATTCTTTTCTAGTTTCCAGAAGAGTGGATACACACATGCTCCTCCTCCTCCTCATTTTGTGAGCACCTCCAGCAAGAGGAACGTGCTCATGGTTTTCCTTCCCTGGTGCTGAATATTGATTCCAGTTTTCTTGACTTCGGTGAACGTTCTCAGATTCTTTAAGCATGGATATAGAGGATGCCCTCCTGGTTTTGCAAGCAGAAACTGACAGAGAAGAGGTCTTGTCAAGTTTATTAGGTATATGAATCCAAGCAAGTCCCTCATGTTTAGCATCTTTATGTAATCTCATACTGCGCCTCACACTTCTGTTTTCATCACAAGTTTCACTCATCCTCCTGAAAGACTCTTCTATAGCGTTGTGTAGATCATTAAATGTTTCAGAGTTACTTTCTACATGGGATGTAGATAAAACTTCCTTCATATTAAAAGAGGAACCGGACATATTATTTCCAGTTGTTTCAAAATCCAAGTTCGCAACTCCAGGAAGATACACTGTGCTTCTTCTGCCTCTTTTTGGAAACCTTTTAAAATTAACGTTATTGATATCGTTCTCTCTTCCGCAGTCTTCAGTGAGACATTCCATTTCTTTAATATCTTTCTTTAAGTCCATGTCCTGGATGTTTAGAGGTATTGAAAGAGCTAGAGTTTCTGAGTTATTTGAAAGATTTTCACTTTCCAGTACACATTTATTTCCTACTAAACCATCTTTTTCTTTCTTGGGCTCTGTACATACAGTATCTTCCTCTTGCTGGGTATTATCAGGTTTACCAAATAGAGAAATGCATTTCCCTTCTTGACTATTAATATTTGGTAGTTTCAAAGGAGAATTTGATTTTTTAACAACAGGTAAAACATGCCTTCTTGTAACACTGGATTCACACCACTCACAGGTGGACTTATTGCCTTCTTCACTGATCCGATTACCTTCACAAATAGTACTCACTTTCTGATCTAGTAACATAAAGGGTGACCCAGGGTTACTTTCTGTTTCAGTGTTTTCACTCACACTGTCCACCTCAGTATGACTGCTTGAAACAGAAAAAAGATTACAGTCTAATGACTGAGTCTCTGCGTCAGAGGAGCTGTTGGCTTCAACAACGTCAAGTTCTTTAGAGTCTGGACATTTGTTTGTTATAGACACATTTTTCCTTCTACTTCTTCCCACCATTTTTCTCCGTTTCATAGCTTCATTTACAGATTCTATGTGGTCACAACTGTTTTCAGGATTATCTAAAACAGGATAAAGTTAACAATTTACAGATGGAACACACAGAGAACTGCTTGAATAAGAAAAATGCCTGAAATATAAAATTTCAAGAAGTGAGTTTATTACAAATAAATCAAATCTTTACTGCATGCCACTTAAACAACCATCATTTTAAACAGCAGTTTCAAAAGGTATTATGGATGGCTAGCAACAAAACAATTGCGAATTGGTTACATGCCCAAAATCTGTCTTTCAGGTAAGACTATCCTGCAGGTTGTTGGAGGTTTTTTTGGTGTGTGGTGGGGGGTGTTAAGAATTGCACGGAGACTCTTAAAGTGTGTGGTCTGGCTTCAATCAAACTAACACATCACATTTATCAAGAGCAACTATTGCTAACAGTCTACAGGCAAACAACATGCCTTCTATATTGTTCAAACACCCCCATAATAACAGGCTAACTGGAAGTGCTTATAGCTAAGTTAATATTGCATTCTAGTCACAAAGACAGTCTCTGAAACTCAAATACATATAATATTCTATATGCCAAGCAGCATTAATTTTAGCGATGAGTAAGTTTCCAGACAGCTACCCCTATTTGTTCCCTTCATACTGTCTCTCATCTCTTCTTCCTTCTGTAACGCACGTGCCTGAAACTTCCTCCCTGTCCTAGTATGTCAAATGTATATAAACCTTTACTTCTTTCAAATCCCTCAGAACCAACACTAAATATTTCCAAATCGTTTCAACTGTTATATCAAATATAAATGTATACTTAGAAAAATTCTAACAATCTTTTTTCTAAGCATCAATATTTTACAGCACTAAAATAACCATTTTTTCCCCACCATCCAGCATACATCTGCTTGATTTGTGTATTTGAGAAATTATTTCCCTGAAAGCAGGAACCATACTATTTTATACTGGGCCAGACATCACCTGGCATTTAGGTACAAATGTCAATTTCAAGTATGGAAGTATTTTTTAACAGGATTTAAGTCCCACCTTTTATACATAAAGTCACATTATGTGAGTACACACAATTCTTCTTTAAGATATGACTGCATATTTCCCTGATTGCAGGCTGGCAACTGCAGCTTGAGAAGCGAGTAGCAACCATGATTTGTACAAAATACTTTTCTTAATTATGACACACAACACGGATCACAAAATCAAAAATCCTGGGACGCCATCTTGCGATAACTTAGAATTTTTTTGTCCTCTCCTGCAGAAGATGATATTGTATGTATACTGTAGAGTTTAATTAGTGTTACAACAAAGGAGTTAAGGATAAGATGCAGAGGAACATAGTTTCTGTGCTGTTCAAATTAAGCTGCTGTGAACAAAACTGAGGTTTCTTACAAGTCTGTCTTTCACAAACACGAAGTAGAAAAGATTAGTTTAATAAGTAATGTAATATCATTTGGGCATGTTGGTACTTACCAACATGAAGATTTAAAACTGATCTATTATATTGAGAAATGTTGCGAGGAAAGTTCATTTTTTACTCTAAAATGATAAAATAAGGAGCATCCATCCTTTATTAGTAATAGGCTCAATCGTATGAACTAATTTATATAGGTAGAATTCAACTTGCTTTTAAAGCGTTAAATTAAAAATCTCAAGGTAACAAAAAGCTAAGGGACTGTCCAAACCCATACAGAGAAACTGAAAATTTAGAACAGTGGGCGCACTGTTAGAATTTTCTAATTTACCAGACAACTGCATGTATTTGACTCTTCTTGTAATAACGTCAATTTTAAATACACATAAGGGCGGTGTGAGAGTTCAGTTTTATCCTGTTTGGGAATCTAAGCACTAATGCTCCTAGGAATTTATTCTATTACTATCTTTTCTTTTTCTTTCCTAGTGACCCCTTCCCATAAGAAGAAAAGGGTTGGAGGTTTGTTAAATTTTTCATGTACACCCAAAGCCTGGACAGGTTTTTTCTGTTTTACTATTCTCTCCCTTATTTTGGGAAAAAAATGGAAGGGACAAAGAGCTATTATATTACCTGAAAAGAGTACAGTATTTGCCTGTGGCGTTTTTGGAGATGATGACGATGAAGAGACCACCTCCAGAATCTCTGGAATTGGACTTAAGAGAGGCTTCTTGGAAGCAATTTCTCTCTTCCCATATAAGGATCTCTGTACCTTTCTTCTTCTTCTTCTCCTCCCAGAACCTGCATCTTTTACTTTCTGGAGAGAGTTAAAAAAAACAAAACAAACCACAGGATACATGCCTGAATAAGCCCCATTTATATTTTTCAAGTAAAATATTACATAGCTTATTAGAATGGTGTTTCTCTATGGTTAATGTTAGAACAATCAGTTAGAGATAAGTATCTCTCTACAGTTAAAATAATAACTAGTTCTATTGCCTTTGTTACTCTTACAAAGTAAGTTTCATCTTGAACTTACGCGATCTAGAATTAATCTGCAAGTTCAAGACAAGTCAAACTGTTGAAACGGCACGTTAAAGCACGCACACATACACACACACTTTCACAGTAAGCAGTACAGACCTGTGCCTACCATTTATTTGTACCCCTCAAGTTAAAAAATGTCCAGTTACTTCCCTTTCAAATTGCTCACTTGATTCTTACAAAATCCTACTCTTATGCAATATTTTAAAGAAGCAGTATGCAAATAGAAAAATATATTAACTATTGCTGCATACAATCACTGTGGGGGCTTTGTATAAGTAGCAGCTAAGAGGTTCTTCCTGACTTAAAACTAAGAGATATCTTCCCCTGTGTCAAATCTTAAGAGAGACAGACAGACAGATGTGGAGAAGAAGGCAGCTTATAAAGCCTTTGAAGCTCCCCTTCACAAAAAGCTATGTTAAAGAACAGGGGTTCAAAAAAACAAACCCAAGAAAGCAAGGAAACAGATAAGAGTATACTAGCAACAGCATAAAAGCAATCTCCCCCCCCCACAACAAACATTTACAATGAACATAGCTAAGTAATAATCATACATACCCATGAAAGAGAAAAACTTATTGCAGGAGTTGTCTAGGATAGTGGTTCTCAAACTTTTTTGTACTAGGACCCATTTGTAAAAATCAATGGCCAGTCCTGAGCCAGTGCCCCTTGTTCCCAACCTGCTGCCTCCTGTGCCCAGCCTCCAGCATGCAGGGAAAGGGGTGGGTGTGTGGGGCAGCAGAGACCCCCAAGCAGCCCCTTGTAGACTGGAATTCTTTTCCGTGTTTTTCTCTTTTAAAGAAGAATCCATTTTTTAAAGTTTGCTGATCAATTTTTAAAGTTTGTCCGCAACCCTTTCATACATTCTTGCAGCCCACTTTTGGGTCACAACCCACAGGTTGAGAAACGGTGGTGTAGGACAGAAATATCTAGTGACATATTTACAAATGTATAGTGGATTATCACTTACTGGTATCTTTCTGGAGGCAGAAGTATTTGAACCCTGACCTTTACAGTTTCGTGGGTTTTTAGTATCTTTAGTTTTCTTGGTTCTTTTGCCTGTCGAGATGTTAAAATCCATCTCTTCTGAACTGTTGATATACTGTTAAGGAACATCAGTTTTAATTATTTTCAAGAAGGACACAACATGGACCAGAAATGATAATACCCCCCAAAGGTAGTAAACTTCATGTTTACTATATTGATAAACCAAGTCACGAAAGCTTAAGTATTACAGCAGTGAGAAAAGATTTACCAAGTCTGCTTTTTTTGTACCCAGAAATATATCCATCTTTAGTAATGTATTTTTAAACAAAAAAAAAAAGGAGTGGGGGAAGAGGGGGGGACACGGGAATAAGCAGGTCTTTCTCTGTAATTCCATATTTTCTCAGGCGGGTGATGTACCAAGTAGCTGGAGCTATATGCAGGGGAATGCTCCTTGTAATTATGCCAGGATTGAGTGTGCGGGAAAATGGCAAATGTTAACATCAATGGCCAAAGGAATAGTGCCGTCATAAATCTTAATATTTATTTTTAAAATTATCAAAAGGAATCTCTCCTGAAATAGCTTCTTATGAACACACATTTGAGTTATGCTCTGACTCAGAAAATGTTTTGAACTTATTAATATCATGTCAGAGATGTTACATTTTTATAAAAATAGAAGCACAATTTTTAGGGTTGACAAGCCAGTCAACTGACCAGCCAAATATTGTCAACTGACCAGCCAATTGACTGCCTATTTTTTAACCAGTTAAAGTTTATAGTAATTTTATGGGGAGTGAATATTTTTTCCATTTTTCTTGACAGAAATATGATTTTTACTGTTTTTGACACATTTCTTAATGGAAAATTTATGCTTTTATGTGTATTATTTGACTGTATTGGCAATTTCTCTCTCTCTTTTTTTTTTTTTTTT